GTAAACATGTGTCTGGTGCGCCTACGTGCGAAAAAGACAATTGTCCCACACATGTTACATATCACCGTAAGAATCGGAGCGCAAGCCACGCTCTTCAAGTCGTGAAAAGAGATCAATAAAATTGACTAAAAACTCATATAGCTTCCTTTAAACAGAGAACTTTCCTTTTATCTCCTTATGGTTATATTTAGTTGTAACCAACTTCTCCAAACAGCAGGAAACAGATGGCGTTCATCTCTCTGTGTGGCCGAGTGCAGCCGCATCGGATGAGACAGCTTATTTTTTTATTTTTTTTTCAAGTCAAACTTTTATTTAGTTGTTCAGATGTTCATTTCTTGGACTTGAAATATTCTTCAATGACATCTTTGGCCTGAGACTCCTTGCCATAGTCCTTGACAACAACGCAACTGCAACCAACAACTTTGCGGGGTTTTCCTTCCCTGTCGATTTTGCAGAGGCCGACCCATTCACCAAGCTTTTTGCTGTCATCAACCTTGATGAGATTGATCTGATGCTCAGCACAAAGCGCTTCACATACATTGGTTGATCACAGTTGGAAGCCAGGACACAAAGATGGGCTTGGAGTTTGTCAAGAGCCTTGGCAGCTTTGCGAATGCCACGAGCCAGGCCGTCATGAATAAGTGCGGTCTTCAGCACTTCTTGGAGAGCGGTGCTAATATCTATTACACCTCCAGCAGAAATGCCTTCCTCGGCCATCCTTGATGTCTAATGGATGTTCGGCGTTACTCCGCCAACCTACTCAACAGCATGAAGGAAAGAGCAAATGTGACAGCTTATAATGGTGAAGAAAATCCATATTTTCTTCTAGACACGTTGTCAGGCATGGAGGTGGGTGAGGACACCGGGACCAGGGAAGGGAGTTCAAGAAGGGGGCTGTATAATGTAAAACAATATAATTAGGGATGCACCGATATATCGGCCGCCGAAACATATCGGCCGAAAATGGCACTTTTGGCATAATGCCGAAAGTGCAATTTTCCTGCCGATACAACGGCGCATCCCTGCCTCCTCTCCTCCCCGCTGGGCGCTGCTCTGTGTCCCAACGGGAAGGAGAGAAAGTGTCACAGCCTGCCGAGCGCTGCGGGAGGAGAGCGCTGGGAGCGGCCGGCGTCTCTCCTCCCACACCGCTCAGCCTCCTATCACAGTCCGGCAGAGCGGTGTGGGGGGCGTAGACAGGCCGCGCTTTCACAGGAGGCTGAGCTCTCCTCACCGCACCGCTCGCTCAGCCTCCTGTGACAGCGTGTCAGAGAGGAGAGCGGGTACAAGCAGTCGGTGAAGGTATCGATTTCGGCCTGAATTTTTTTTTTTTTCGTTTTAAAACTTTCCATTTCGGTGCACCTCTAAATATAATGTAATGATTTCCATTGGAAGGAAGAAAACATATCACCCTCCTGGAGGGAACCTGTACTGAGAGCAAAACTGAACCACCTCCTTCTGAGAATGACAGTTGCCTGGCTGTCCCTGACATTAGTACTTTCTGAGACCCAGAACAAGCATGCAGATCAGGAAAGCTGGAGATGTTAATCTGAATAGTTCTTCTGGGTCCATCACTCAAAGTTCTGAAGCTATTGGATCAAAAGGACAGTAAGGGAGCTAGTATTTCCTGGAGATGTCAGCAATTAGGGATGCACTGATACCGGTTTCCCGGTACCGATGCTTTGCTTTCGGTACTCGTCGTTACCGGTGCTTCCACTGCCATGGAGCCAGCTTCCCAGGCAATTTGATTGCCCAAGAAGCTGGCTCCATGTTGTCTACTCTGCTTGATTGAGCTTGGCTGGGAAACCGGCTTCCCAGCCAATCAGCATCGAGCCAGCCTCCTGGCCAATCAGAGAGCCAGGTGGCGAGTAATGAGCCGCCTCCCAGCTTTCCTATTGGCCAATCAGCATGGAGTCCGCTGTTTGGCTGGCTCGATGCTGATTGGCTTACCAGCCAATCATAATGGAGCCGGGAGGTGGGTCATTACTTGCCGCCCAGAATCCTGACCGCACAGTAAGCTGGCTCCATGTTCCTCTATGGCACTGCCGGTCAGAGGAAGATTTCTGTAGATTTTTGAAAATCCTGTATCGGGGAAGGTATTGGAACATTTGGGCGAGTACGACCACTCGCCCAAATACTCGGTATCGTCAAAGATACCGATACTAGTATCAGTATTGGTTCATCCCGATCAGCAATGGCAGCCTCCATACATCATCAGAACAAGTCTCCTCTAAACTGCTTCATACAAATAAGTCCCCTCTACATGGGCTTGAGAGAGGCTCACCACTATCTCTGCTCAATGCATAAAACGGGTCCTGTCCCTTCTTCCTCTCCTAGTTGCATCCCGTGACATTTTTTATTGGTTCACCTAATTAAAACTGGAAGAGGAACCAATAGAAACTCACTGAGAGGGAGTAACATAGGGAGTTTGAATGAAAGAGGATGGTGCAAGCTTAGCAACCTTTTATTTTTGTGGACAGAACTTTTTGTAAGGGATTGAAGG